ACGATGATAATATTATTAATAAAAATAACTTGACAAATTGAGTGACCCTACTGAGCCTTGTTTTCTTTCCTTTATACATTCAACCCTACTTCATTAATTTTTTTAAATTAAAATTTTTGTCCCTAGTATAATATTGATTTACATGGACAAAAACAATCTTAGGAGTGACCTGGGGGCTTCACCCCATGCAGGTAATAAAAAGATTAATAGTTTGTTTCTTTTAAATATATATAGATATTATCTTGATTGTATTTCAGTGACAATACATGTTTACATTTGAATACTAGTGGATGCATATGGAGTCAGATACATAATTTATAATGGAGTCAGATACATAATTTATAAAAATCATATTAAGATCAATCGATTAATTTTGGGTACATTTAACTCACATCATCACCCCATCCCTTTTCTTGATGGGAAGAAACAAGCCTAAATAAATTTGCTTCAGAATCCCCTTTATTAAGCCATGCCTGTAAAAAAATAACAGGGAGCTCATTAACAATTACTGACCAAATTATTAGGAGTAACAGCTAAATATCTGCCAGATGCCTGATGTTGTATCTGAAAATTTTTAAATTCTATCAGTATTAGCTACAAAATTCTGTAACTAACTTTGATGATGCTACCATACACCATAGTCATAGGTTCAGCATTTTGGCTAAGAGACAGATTATGTTTTAAAAGTATATTGAGATCAAAATAATATTATTTAGCATACCTTTGAAGGCTAACACTTTGCAGTTTTCTGTGGCTAATAAGGAATGCGGCAACTACAAACAAATAAACTGATTAAAAATGTCAATATCCATTAGTCTAACACAATGAAACTAATATTGATATTTTGGCAGTTAAGTGGAGTGTAGGAAAAATGCACTAGTCAGGCGGAGCCTCCGCCTGACTAGAAATGCACAACTTGCGAAATGTCTTGTAGCTTGTGTTTAGACTAAACTATGAATATGCATCACTCAAAATGAAACTGGTGGAATATTTCTGCTGTAAACAAAATAATAATTCTAATAATGATAGTAAAAATGCTGCCAACAAAGTAGTGTAAATACAATCTGGATTTGTGTAGATGCAGCCTCAATGTGGTTTCAAATGACCTGTATGCTTACTATTAGACTACCTCAAGGTATGTGGTTTGAAATAATCAAACTGGTTTGCATATAAAGTGCCATACTAAAACTACAAACATAGATACCAACAGCTGCATTTACAATTGAAAGGTGGCATTTTTTAACTGAAAAGACTCAGTACTTATTAACCTTCAAGCCTAGGCACTATATTCCAGGGCCCTCATCTTGACCTCCTGGCAACTAATGTTTAATTTTTTAGTGATAAGTAATGAAGTTATAAAACTGTCCTAGCAGTCTGATTAGTCAATTACAATAAAGCATAGTTATTATGGTAGAAGCTACATAATTTATGAACCACATTCAGTAATGTGCTGAAACTGATTTGTGGTGTAAGCAGGGCTATATTTTCTGCAAGTTACAGAGTTGTATATAGTTTGTACTAATAATCTAAATATTGCTTTCTTCACTTGCACAGTCACGTAGTATTGCACATATGGTTTATGCTATAGTAAAACTTCTGGCATGTTCAGTGTAGTCACTATTATACTAATAATCTAATTAGTTATCATTTCCTTCACATGAGTAGTGTAAATGAAGGTTGAAAATCCACACTTTAGATTGTAAAAGTTGTAATTTGTACTAATAACCTAATCAGCTATCATTTTATTATTTCTTTCACATGAGTAGCTTATTTATGAATAAACGCAGGTTGAAAGTCCACAATTTAGATTGTAAAAGTTGTAATTTGTACTAATAATCTAATCAGCTATCATTTTATCATTTCTTTCACGTGAGTAGTTTATTTATGAACTGGTTTATTTCTATAAACCAGTTTCAAACTGCTGCTTTGAGCTAGGTGTAAACAGGGTTTATGCAGCCACAGGCAGCCAGTATAATATTCAGTCTTTGATCAAATACCTCCATGTATTATTGTACCAACTCCATTCCTAACTTTTTTATGAAAACTTCCATTCAATGAAAAAATTTGTTGTCTCATAAAAGTTTCACGATTTGGAAGTGCCACTGTATAGTAGATCTAGGCTAAACTGAGTAAAAAACCTGATGTATTTATATTTGAATGTATTTCAGTCACAGTTGAGTGATCAGAAGCCAGTAACTACAATTTTATCTAGTCTGGGCCAAATCACCAAATGTTCTTTTACAGTTGTATATAGCAACTTGAGCCAGCTATACATTTTTGCTGAGATTTTACTGATAATGAGTTTTAGTATTCAAAGTTAATGCAAAATAGTATTTCTATTCATAGAAAAGCTCTATCTTTCAACTCCGTAATGCATTATTTAGCTAAGAAAAAGAGCTATAGTCTTAACTGAGCTAGAATTGATTATTTGCAGGGGGAGATACACATTAAGGGCTAATGTCCAATAAATTTTTAACTGAATCCTTTATTGATTAAGTCTAGATATTCTCTTTTAAATTGCCCATTCTTTAGCCCTTAATAAAAAGTTTTTAATATTATTGATTGCAAATAATTCATTCTAGTGCAGTGAAGACTACCTCTTTTTCTTAACTGAATAGTGTATCATGCATGCATGGAGCTGAAAGCTTTTGGATAGAAAGACTCATTAGCAGCTTAGACTAGAGTTCATTGCTGAAAGAAAATTAAAAAACAAAAATAAATGGGGAGCATGGTCGAAATTTGTACTAAAGATTCTTTGTAAAATCACAGCAAAGACAAAGCTGTTGCTACACCAGTTGATGTATATAAGATAGAATTACTAGCTTCTGATCACTCCAAGTATGAGGATTTTAAATATTGATGGTGTGCGAACATCAGTTTTTTACTCCATTCATGATAAAAAGAACAATTTTAAGATCAAGCAATCTTCCTTTAATTCATTTACTTATTTATTACAGTGAAAATAGCAGTAGGAGAAGACAAACAAGACAGAGGAAATCACACTATTGGAAGCTTGGCAGGCCAGAAATGACTGATGCCAAGCTATTTCTACTACTAATTCCGCACATCAATTTAGCACGGTATAGCTGAGCACTTGCTAGATCTATAGCTAGTTCAAGTTTCATGCTGAATTTTCATTATAACAGGCACACAAAAAAACTAAATGCTGTACTATAAAAGGTGACAGTTTAGTTTATGACTTGCTAAATTTGTGTGAAACTGAACATGTATGTGCTGTCAGTTTTAGCACCTCTATGACTGAAGTTTGCATAATATACTAAGTAATACCTTAAGCCTACTATTATTTGCGTCTACTAATTTTAGCGAAATCAGCAAAAGTCATGTTTAGCGTTACTAATTTTAGCGTTTTTAACCAAATTAACTATAAAATAATAACCATTATAATGAATAATAATTATTTTGGCGTCTATTTAATTTAGCGATTTAAAACTCTCTCGCTAATATCGTTAAATTTAGTAGACGCTAAAAATAGTAGGCTTAAGGTAGTTTAATGCACTGATGTGCTTTTAAGGGCACTTTATAGTTCTTATATAATGTGGTTTCAGTTCAAATCATACTGAAATCATAGTAGACGGTGTACTAGCATTATGATAAGAAGAAAACATTATGCATTAGTGACAATGCATGCTTACAATTAACGTTAGGAAAGTCAGGTAAATTTTCTTTTGCAGGATAAACAGTGACAATATTTGACTCAGAGCTACAAAAAAGGGTTATTCCAACTATGAAAATGCTCAGTTCAGCTTACCTGATGGGCTCACTGTATACATAGCCCGAGGCTTCTAGGCAATAAAACAGGACGGCATCTCCATCAAACATAGAGGATACCGTAGTATCCATAGCCTTTGTAGATCTACCGCGGGAGGGTGACTGATTAGTATGGATTATTAGTCTTATTAGTAGTTGCAAGAGTAGATGATCAGATTGCTCATAATTTAATGGAACTGCTTAGTTCCTGCCTACACACGCGTGTGACAATTCATAAGAAGTAGACATATAGTCTACATTAAATTTAAATTTTTTACTCAATCACAAAAATAAAAGAAGGCAATAGCAAATTAATAATCTAGATCTGTAGATCTATATATGCTTTAATTGTGATGACATTAATTTATTCAATCAATACTAGCTGAAAAGGCTAATTTATATTTATTATGATAATTATTATAAATTTACATCATTGCTATATGCAATGTAGTACAGCAATCAAAAGGTACAAAAGAAAATAATTAATTAAATTAAAATTTTATTCTCATTTTATATTTAATCATCATTTTCTGTCAGTAGGGTTGAAATTTTTATATTATTTTATGAATAACAATTTTGTTTATTGTTATTAGATATTGTTATCATTATTATGACCCATTATTAATTTTATCCACAAAATCTTTAACCCCTACTACCCATTGTTATTACTCAATTAAACTAATCAATGATTATAGGTGCAGAGTGCTCATTCTGTTGAAATTTGCATAATGATTATTCACCATGTGACTATTGAAGCCTGTTGGCATTTGCATACAGCAAAGGAAGCTGTCTTTGAGCAAGAAATGTCCTTTTTAGGCAGGCCTTGTCCCTATCATTCCTGCATAAATGAGAGGGCACGTGTCATGGCCCAGACAAGCATCATTCCTCTGCACGTAGTATTCAGTGAGCCCCCTTTCATGACCTTTGGGGAGAAGCCTCAAGGTCGTTCCTAAGATTGAATTAATATCTATGACATGCAAATCATTTCTAAGCATAAAATCTAAGGCAGAATCCGCCCTCAGAAGTGTGGCAGGTGGGATAGTGGGCTGCAGCCTTGCATGGTGAAGTTCACCATGCAGCACACTATCCCACTTGCCCAGGTGAAGTATTAACAAACTTGACCAACCTGTAAGTAAAATTATAAGTTCTGTGAGTACCTACATGTGTACTTTGTATAGCTGTATCGACAGCTCTCACTATGTGTGAGAGCTGTGAATACAACTCTTTTAGTCTTTTTAACAAAAGCACACAGACTTTAACTGCATGCTTTCTTTATAAATGAAAAGGGATATAACATAAGTGATGGAAGAATCTAACAATAATTTCTTAATTTAGTCTGTATATCAGAGATGAGTTGAATCGAATCAGAAGAGATCTCTGCTGAACATAATGGACATGTATTCTCTGACTCCAATAACCTACAATCATAATAACATTAGATAAATTATTACTTTAGACCATATACTTGACACAGTGGCTGAGGAGACTCTATTTGATGATTATTGTCATCAAAGAATGACACAAATGACTTATTTCCTTTTGCTAGCTCTAAAACTGTATCCATTAATTCCTTAACATAACCTAAAAATTTCCAAATTATTATACAAGTATAATAATAGGTGAAACTAATGCTTACTGTAGGTTGATTTAGTCTTTAACTGTCGAACAATATGACCACCCTGCTTATACTTCGGGAATGAAATCGAGTATTGTCCTTTGCCTTCTTTTGTAAAGGATTGCTTCTTGTTACCATTCTCATTGTAATGCAAAGCTGCCAGTTTTTGTCTATAAGGTGCAAAGTAATAGTAAAAACTCAATACCAACTGACCTTGCTAACATTCCCTTGTAAGAGAAGGCTTGTAATTTGGGAGCAAACTGTATTACAACACTGTGAAAAGCTTCGATTCCTGAGGTTTGGTGCAATGGAGATAACTTCTTAATTTGGTTGCATAGCCGGTTTTTTGACAGTAGATCAATGATTTTAATGCTAGGTTTAGATTCTAAAATTGTAATTATTATTAAAGAATAATCTATTAGATAAGCTTACGTGGTTTAAACCATTTCTTTTTAGCTCTGTTGCATATCCTTCCATGGAGACACTTCTTAAAGAGTCCAGAATGATGATGTTTGTTGTGTATATGGTTAATCAAGGAAAGCCATTTGTCATGGATCATGTCCTGGTTGCCATCAGGAGTAGAAACAGCACACCAATATAGATGGTTTATGATACTCTTTGACCATTCTCTTATCATTTCACAATCTTGTTGTTTTGCTAATGTGTTAACCTTTTTCTTGATTCCTACTTATTTTAGTTAATGTAAAGCATAAAAAATTCTATACCTTTTGCCAAATGCCATACATCAAAATGGTGTCTTATATTGGGATGAGTCTCTCGAAGCCATTTGCTTATTTGTTGGTGACAGTCCGTAATCAGGGTACTAATTTCCATCCCATGCTCATTAACTTTTGTCATAGCTCTTTTTAATCCTTCCAGCTCCATGTTATTGCTATTCTTGACTTCATTACTCTAAGAAACATGAATTAAAATTAATTATGGTTAAAGAGTATGTATCATACTTGTACTAGTTGAATGTCCAAGATAATGTTGTGATTCAGTTCCACCAAAGAGTATGTGCCATATTTTGCAGAGTGCCCAGGGCTGTCAGCTCTTCCATCACCACCAAGAACCAATGCTGTACCTTCATCAGCTAGTTGTACAAAGAAAGCCTGTTGTTTCATGTCCCAAACATAAAATATAGCTTGATAAAGAAAATGCCGTTGGTGATGAAAGAAAGTGCTCCTACTAATAGTGGCACAACCAATTGTGTGGAAAATACGAAGAGTCTTCTCGGGCAAACAACCATTAAACAAAATAGCAGCTGTAAGTAACAAATTACACTCAGGGATTTCATTAACCAGTGGTTGACTATCCCATGTTGCTAACGTTTTACAGTTGTTACACTTCTTTTTAACACGAAGAAAAGTGCCTTTGACTAGCTTTGTAACTGATACACCAAATGATCCACAGTGATTACAAGAAGAGAACAAGGAGAGCAAAGCCCCTTCACATACAATGTACTTCCTTTCAAAATTACAGCTAAAGCAAAATTTTTTCAATAAATATTAATTTTTAAAAGTGAAATTAATTTACTTCAAGTTGTCTTTTAATACACACTCTGTCATTTCCTCATTACAGTATGATCCATCACTGGTAGTACTACTGGCGTCACTGATCAAAAATTCTTCATCATCATCAAACACATCCTCAGATTCATTAGATACGTGTATAGGCTCCTCTCCTGACAGATCACATTGCACTCCAATGTCACACATAGATCTAGTAGGAAAGCTAATGGTCTGTGTACCTGTAAAGTAACTCATAAAACCTATGCAATATGAGGTTGTAACTAACTAGCTGATCGCTTTCTTGGAGCTTTGATGCAAACTGTCTGTACTTTCACTGATCTTGTGACAATCCTTTCAATTTGAGTTCCTACAGACTGAGTAATATATATATGATAAAATTCAGAAGGTAGTGGTATCAATTTGCTACCTGTGACAAATGCTCTGGTTGAGGCTCTGGTGTAGTATCATTATAATTGTCAGTCAAGATTAGCGCAGGATCAGATGGTGGTATTGATCTATGTAGATGTCTTGTAGCTTTAAGAACCTAAGTATAGTAGGCCCAGAGAATACTAATAAGTTGTTAAATTACATTGAATCATTTACCCTTAGCCTTTCTCTCTTCTCATAAGCAGGTTTTTTTGCAGCTGGTTCAAGAGCTTCTGTTACTTTCCTTTTAAAAGAGGTAGGAACAGCATCTTTCTTCAATTTGGCTGTTGTCTCCAATCCAAAGCTTTTGCACATCCTTTTTCCAACTTCAAAACAATCTTGAGTGAAGTGTTCTGAGCAAAGGACTGAGTTCCTAGTTGGTCCCTTCCATTCAGCTCTAGTCCTCTTCACTTGTTCAGTCCACTTTTTTCTTAGAGCATCATTCTTAGGGAAGTGAAAGACACTTATACTTTTGGAACTGGTGTTGCTGCATCCATAGGCAACACAACGATTAGGCATTTCTAGTTTTCCATATGCAGCATGCACTCACATGCAGAAACTTCTGCCTCTCGTGACGTCTCATGAAGCCACACCCCTTAACAGGAAGTAGTATGGCAGGAAGCAAAAAAGAGCAACTTTGAAGGCCCATATCTCAGAGAAAAAATGTTTTTGAACAGTAAGACTAAGTACACATCATTTTCATGATCATACAAACATATTAAGCCAATAAAAAAAAATACCCCAAAAATCATTGAACTTACCCTTTAAACTCTGAATAACGTGCTGGGAAATGACAAGAAGGACATTCAAACCAATCATCAGCCACCATGTGACGACCCTATTGTGAGTATGACAATTATTACAGATCATTTCCTAAGCATACAGTGATAATACAGTATGGAAGGTTGTTCTTGCATTGTGGACAGTCTAGTCTCATTTGTGGGAGCATAAAAGAACAAACAGGACAAGGAGTTGTAGTATTCTCAACTTCACTCCACCTTTGGCGGCTGCAGAAGTCCAACTCAGCCTAGGCATTTCTAATTAAAGGGGTGTGGTAAAAGGGTTAAATTAACTTAAATAGCATTGTTCCTACTTCCGGTTTAATTTTTAACCTAGGCAATGACCCCCAATGCCTAGGCCTGCAGCCGCCTATGCACTCCACTCTGGTTTTCTATTTCACAAAATCAAAAAATACATAAATACATTAATCATACACAGCATGTACCTGACAATGTTTTCTAATTTCTTCTTCCATTTCTCATCAATGTTAGGACAATACTCAGGCTTCATTAGCATAGCAGCATA